TATATATTTGTTTTTTTTTTTTCCTCTTAATACACACACACACACACACACACGTAACACATGTATATTTAATAAATTTATACAATTTCAAATGAAAACAGCGTTTTACTTGATAAAAGTATCGATTCTTAAACTGATTTCAATTCGTATTTGAATTTTAGCTTGGACACGAACCACACTCACTTGCCTCTACAATTTTGCTTTGTTGAAGACACAGATTTGACGGCAGTCGTAGTGTAATTTCTATCATTCTCAGTATTACGTGAATAATGTATTATATATAGTATATTCGAAGTAGGACGCGTAATTATACGTTTTAAGGAAGTATCGGCCATGTCTAGTGGAACTTGAATTTCAGTTTGGCCACACACCGCACATGTATTCCATCTATACTGTTCTCACTGCTTGGTTGGCAACTTTGCTAAACCAATTTAAGTCGGCAATGACTTATGCTCTTTGTTAATTACTATTGGCAGCGACACTTTTGTCAGCCTTCATTTTATTTTACGAACATATGTATATATTCAAATTCATCATTGTACATTCGAATTAAATTACAAGAACACTTATGCTGCCTGAATCGCTTACATTAATATTCCAAAGCTTAGCTTTGACACTCACCCCTCACTAACTTGCCATCCACATTACGTCTGTTCCAACTGTTTGGTTCGTATCTTTGCTAGGCGCCTGTCCACATGTGTTGTTGCTTTGTCTTCGCTTACTTGCTGGTCAAACGCAGCTTTTGGAGCTTTTGGCCGTGCTAATGCAATTAAAAACGCTGCAAACTTGAATTTCGCTCGTTTGCTGCAGCTTCCGACGGACACAACGCCCCCGCTGCGCGCGCTTCAAGCTTCTAGCCGCGTCTGCTGGCTGTCTGTCTGTCTGTGTGTGTGTGCTGCTGCTGTTGTTGTTGGCATCGACGGTTGCTTTTCAATTTTGGCCAAGTCCAAGTTGAACAGCGCTCAGCCCGCCAGAATCAAGTTCAGTCGCGCCGCAAACGCGTTGCGGAAATGTTTTGTTGTGAGCATCGTCGGCAACAGCAGCCTCCTGTACGCAGCTACGCGCGCTGCTCCTTGCTCAGCCTCTGAGCAAAAGTAAACAACAAACGCACAAAAGAAAAAAACGAAAACAAGAAAAGAACGATAAAAATCAAAAGAAAGAAGGATTTTATTGCAAAGCTTCCAGGTAAATGCAGCCGGGCGAAACGGGTAAACCGTAAACGGTTAACGGTTATGCCGGAATATATTTAACTGTATTGCCTGGAATTTATATCCTCTACAATATTATTTTTGTTCATGTGTGTGTGTGTGTGTGAAGCTGGCACGTGGTCCTTGCTGCTGTTCCTCCTCTTGTTGTTATTGCTGGCTGCCTTTTGAAGGTCACTTCGCATCAGGACTGAAGGCCGCGCCAGAGTGAGAGAGACAGACGGGTAGCTGAGCACCTCGAGAGAGAGACAGCAAGAGGTTTGTGTCGAGCAAATGTCAAAAGGTGGCTGCCTTAACGGCTTGTGGGCAAGTCTGCGGGGTAGGCGGGGCTGGCTGCGACTGCAGTGGAAAAGTTCTCGCAACAGCCACAAAAGTGAAAGTGCAAAAGGAGCCCAAGCTTATCAATTGGCCTAGAAATTAATGCTAACGGTATTCAAGTATGTTAAATTGTGTATTTACTGTAGAAAAAAATAATAATAATACGAAACTTAAGTGAAATCGAAAGTTATAGATGGGAAATTTAAGAATGCAGCGAAATGTGACCTTGACTTAATAACATACATATATATTTATGCTATATAAGTAACAAGTTAATGCTATTGAAAAGGTGTATTAAAGACAATTGGAAACAATTTCATATTGTCTTTAATATATTTTGTACATATTTATTTATATACGAAAGTATGCTAGTCTGAATATTCGTTTCAAGARCATCCAACTTTAGTTCATCCCACTATTTTAATGAGCACAGCTATATATGAATAAGTATATTAATATATAAATAATATATAGATGTGGATGAACATTAAAAAAAAAAAAAAAAAAAAAAAAAAAAAATGTATCATTTTTCGATATAGCCATATCCACTCTATGCGATGCTGACTTCCTATTGTGCTATAGTCGCTTGGCATTCCATTTTAAATTTTATATCTAAATTTAAATGATCGAATTGAATTGAATTTTATGTTTTTTATGTAAACGGAAATGAATTTTCAATTTTATATCTAAACTGAATTTAATTTGAAATTCGATATACGTATAAATTTTAAATGAACTTCCGTTACTTATACATAAAATCCCTATTAGTTTCATTTCGGCCGTTTCTAATTATATTGAAGCCCTAACTGCCCTGTTGGCCACCTCAAGCGGCTAGCTGTGATATCCCTGAATAGATGCTTGCTTGATCACGAACAAGAACTCAATTTGTAGAGCTCTCTGAACAGCTCAGATAGTTTCTAGTATTTAGCACTTACCTGCTATATTTATCCATAGGTCATATGCATAGATATAACGTCCCTGAGCTGTGCTTTTAGATAGAACTATTTGTGGATACAACAAATCAAATATTGAACAACAAACATTTGCATGTGCGATAAGCCTGGCCTCCAACGGCACCGCTGGCCACCCTCTAGCACAATTCACACCCGTCACACACACACACACACACACACACACCTGCTCACCCACGAAATGAATTCTGCAAAATTTGCATAGTGATTAGCAAAGCGCAAGCGCTGGCTAAGACCGCACCCTGTTGACGTTAACAAGCGAAGATTCTGTCTGGGCCAAAACTTGATTAGCTGGCCGGCTTCTGACTGTGACTGAGCCGCTGATATTGGCCATTTAGCAAAAGCTTCTTTACCACTCAAGCTGACGTCTGGAAATCTGTAGATATTAAGACCATAGACTAAGACGATCTAGCCAAGTCTGTCTGCATTTTTGTTATTAATTCGATCTTTCGTTCGTGTGTCCATCTGTCTGACGGCCGAACGTCAGCAGCTACGTCCAGCCGTTCGAATGTCTATCGGTCCGTCTGTCTACCTGTTCACCTGTCCCGGTCTGTCTGTCTATCCGTCCGAATGTCTATCTGTCCGTCCCTCAGTCTATGTGTCTATCTGTCCATCTGTTTATCCGTCCGACTGTCTATCAGTCCGACTGTCTATCTGTCCATCTGTTTATCCGTCCGAATGTGTATCAGTCCGACTGTGTATCTTCCCGACTGTCGATCTGTCCGACTGTCTATCTCTCTGTCTGTCTTTCCATCCAGCCGTCCGTTTGTTTATGCCTCCATCCAACCGCTTATCTGCCTGTCCGTTTGAATATCCACCCATGTGACCATCATTCCGTCCGTCCATCACAACATCCTTCCGTTCATCCACCCACCCGTCTTATCACTCCCTCCATTTGACCATCCTTCTCTCCGCCCGTTCGCATGCTTTCTCTTGTTTCTTCGTCTCATATGCCAGCCTCAATAACTGCTCCTAGAGTAGCTTTGATATTCATAGATATCCATTTATAATTTAATTGATTATATACTATTAATTTATTAAGAACCTTTTGAGCTAGGGTCTCCTGATATTTCTACTACTACGAGATACGAGCTAGTTCATGTATAATGATGTCTATATAAACATATTGAAGGTAAGCCATCACGTTCTGGGCTTGTCTTCCAGGCCTAGCGGGAATTCCCGATCTTTTATTTGCTTCTTCCTTTGGTGTTCGCTGAGGCCCTTTGGCACAATTAGCGCCGCAATCGAGTTGCATTGGAGATATTCACAGTTGGGGAATTGAAACTCGAAGAGTCATGGCAACTCTGCAATTAGCGTGCACTGCACTGACAGGTGGCAACTGTGGCCGGCTTTTGTTTATGGCTGTGTTTGCTTTATCTTTGCCCATGCTTGTTGGTTTATAACGGTTAACCTTCACCTGGCCGCAGCAGAAGCCGCCGCAACTCGTTCAATGACCGCCACTGTCATTGCCGCTGTCCATCACAAAGCCGCCGCTCTGTTATGGCTACTACCAAAAGGGAGCGACCAGGGGAAGTGTAGTGCGACAAGGGAGGGGGAGGAAGGGGGGTCAACCAACTCGCCCTCCTTCTGCCGCCACCGACTCCGAGCGCTCTTCAACTTGACCCCAATTCGCAGGCTTCAATTCTGGTTTCAGCAGCGGCTGCTTCTTCATTTTATGGGCAAGGACCCGCCCAGTCACGTTGTCTTGCCGGTGACCTTTAGCCAGGCGATTAAGATCATTTCAAGCGGCAGGTAAAAACTGACGAAGGGCATGGTAGATGGAAGGGGGGTGGGGGGGGGAGGGGCAGGTGTGTAGCAGTGGTACGACAATTACACGTCCAAACTTAACAGCTTGGCTCGAAAATTGAATGCTGAACAAGTCGTTGTAGCTGTGCGGCGGGGAGGGGAAGGGCTGC